TGCGCCTGGTCTGCCCTGGCCGCCAGCCAGTGGGCTCTACGAATTGGCTTCATTGTTGTAATGTTTGCCTCAAGCAGCTGAAGCCGGCAAAGAAAAGAAAAAATTGTAACAGAAAACGAAAAACAACAAGTAGAACTAAGTAGTTCATTTTGAGATGCCTGCTTTTGTTTTAAATTTTAAGTATGGATAAGAAAAAAGCAAGCTGCAAATTGTCGCAAAACAAAGGACAAGGAAAATGCCCAAAATGAAAAGCGACCAACAAAGGCGTGGCAGAGGCAAACGAAGGGAAAGTAGCAGCGCTCGCTGCGACTTGACACAAAATGGGTTTCCGCCCCAAATCCCAAATATCCCCGGAAGCCGATTAAGTGTTACCCGTAAGCGGGCGCAACAGCGTGAAAGCGACGCCGCTGCCACCGCCGCTACTACCGCCGTTGCCGGCATGGCAACTGGCTGTGGCTGCAAATTGAGCGCCTTGCATTGAAAGGCAGAAGCCGCAGCAATGGCAGCAGCAGCAGCATTCGCCTTGGATGCCTTGGAAAATAATGGCAATACATGTTGTTCAAGCACTTACGGGAACAACGAGGGGCGTTTGACAATTAATAGAACAGCAAATTGGGCAAAGCAAACAAAATTCTGAATAAAGTTTTAAAATTAGATGTTTTTACATATATACAGCATTTAGCCGGGAACTAAACTAAGTATTGGACAATACTTTCAAAGTTGCCAAGCCGCCCTCGCATGTGACGTAGACGCAGCCGGCATGTAAACATTGCAAAACACATTACAATAAAATATTTATCGTTATTATGCTTTTGAAAATGCTTTTCAATTGCGGTCCGGACAGACCGTAGATACCGCTGACTGAGGGCCATTCCACCAAAGCCATTTGGCATCCCCTGCATCCGTCCGTCAGAAGCCTTTTGGCTTCTTGGCGGCATCGCATGGAGGCGCGCAAAGCGTATCGAAGAATGATTGATGAAGGCGTTTGGGACCTGTCTCTCTGTGGGTGTGCTGACAGCATTATCTTTTACCAAGATCTCCGGTTGGCAACAACTTCATCAAATACGCGAAATTTACCAAAAATATTTGAGCATATGTGAGTGTGTCTATGTGGGTATATTAATTTGTGCGCCGAACAAATTGCAAAGCTGCGTAAGCAGCTGCCATATGCGGCGTATGAGTAATGGCATGTATGGCCCTATTAGTCAGCCATGCCGCGGGCCAATATAAAGGCGTTGATTTGCCTGATCATATTTATTTCGATTTCGTCAGTTATTTGCATGCGATTGTGTATCTAAGTGGTTTTCCGGTAACCAGCTTTAGCCCTAGGCGACGACTTCATTATTATATTATTATTTCATTTCCCCATTGGAAATTAATATGTCATTTGAGCCACACGCCCGCCACCGGCGCGGCGCAAGTAGGAGCGGAAAGTAAGCGAAAGACACGTCAGGAACAGGCAAAAAAAGCAGATGAGGATATAATAAAGGCAACAACACGCTTAGGGGCTTGGTTGTTGCTCTAAGCCAAAGCAAAGATGAAGCAAAATAAAAATTGCAAAAAATGAAAAAAAATAGAATGAAATAGGGGAAGATATACAGAAGAGATGGCGAGAGTACATAGCTTAAGCAAAGAGTGAAATAAAAATGCAAATAAAATAAAATAAAAATGTGTCTGTCATGTCAATATTTGCCGCCAGCAGATGAACTCAATTTGCAATTGGCATTGAGTGTGACAGGCAGCTGTATGTGTGAGTGTGAGTTTCAGTGAGAGTGAGAAACTATATGGGTGTGTGAGTGCGTGTGTGTGTGGCTTCTGGGCAGCAGGACCTCAGCATAGCATTTACTTTGGTGGCAAATCATGGGAAAATTGATTGACATTTTCATTATACAATTTGCCAGGCGAAAGGCAACAGCAACAACAGGAGTAAAGCACAGGCAAACAGCAGACAGGAAACGGCAAATGCTGAACTGATTGCCGTTGTTGTTAGTGTTGTTGGTAAATTATACAAATTGCTCATAATGTACCACAAATAATTAATGCCAGTCATTAAAATAATAAAGTGCCTGCATATGTGAAACAGGCTGCTGTTGCCGCCTCCCGTAATTTCTGGTAATTACTTAAATAATTAAAGCCTTCTTCGAATTTGGCAGTTGTCACTGGTAAATGGGCTAATTGATGATGGCAAATAAACAGAAAAGCTGGATAAAAATGAAAAAATATTAAAAAGTAAACAACTCTTCTGATTAAGTGGCAATTAATGCATATAAATAATGCAAAAACAGGCGCAATGCAAGCGAGGCAGTCGCAAATTGATTGCTCAGTCAGCCAGCTGCGAGGAGTTTGCAGCTGACACTTGCAATGCGGTCAAGTGGAAACAATTAACGTTCAAAGACAAAGACAACAAGTTAAGTAAGGCAATATAAACAAACATACTATGAAAATACGATACAAATATGGCAACGCGCAGGTACGTGCATTCAGCAATGATTGATATGACCTTCAGTAAACTAATTAATATTGAATTTCGAACAGAAAGCGAAAATTATTCCAGCAATTAAAGCGTATAAATTTAGATAAAAATTTAACCAAAGATAATTTTAAGCTTTAAGTCTTCAAATTCTTCTTATTTTAAAGAGCATTTTATCAAAATTACCTCTGTAAATACATTTAATTTCTATTTTTGTAATGGTGCCAATTAACTTACATATATATTAAATTCTTTTGAATTAATTGTATTAATTAAAAGCTCTTTAAAAACTTTTGTCTTTATTCTTTCTAAATATTTTAATTAAAGCCATTTTTATATATCGATTTTTAATTACTGTGTATTTTCAATAAAGTTCTTCGACGTCAGTGGTTATAAAAGCTCTCCCTTGGTTGGCTATTGCATACCTGGGAACATTCAAGAAAAGTTTCGTCTCACAAAGTCCTTAACAAGCACCTGAAACTTTGAAAGCCGCCAAAAGGACACTTAAAGTCAAATTCCTGAACAGATTACATTTTATCAAAATGCCACCGCAAATATGGTAAATGGTGAGCTATTTATTTAAAGGATTTCACTTTGACCCAAGCCCACTCCCAAAAACGGATACTCTTCGGGGAGCGAGCTTACAGACCAATTTATGCCAAGTAGCACAAAACATTGGCGCGTTGACATTTGCAAAAGTGAAGCCCATTGAAATGAACAGACAATTGACATTTTGAGCAGCGAAGCAAATGGCTGGCATACCGAACAAGTGTCTGGGGTAGATACATGGAGATTGGGATCGTGGGTGGCAGATGCTCGCTGAACATTAAATTAATTGAGCAATTAATTAAGACGCCATCGAGTTGGCGGAGCAGCAACACTTCACGACGCAGACGAGCAAAAGTATCTGAAGGAGCAGCCCAACGCGTTAGCGAGTGCATCGAAAGGAGCAGCCTCAAACAAAGAGCCATTGTAGACATCTGGCTGACTGGCTGACTGACTGAATAACTATTGGCCACGCCTGTGTCTGTGTGTCCGTCTGTCTGTATGGTTGTTATGCTGGCTTCGCAGAGCACGTGAAATTATGAAGTTGAGAAATTAATTCAGCGGCAAGTCGAAAAGTTTGAACTTTCAATTATGTGGAAAGCAGCGCTAGCTACATGAACATCTCACAATGAGAATAAAATTAAAATGAGTTTTTCCAGCACCGCTGAACTTTTCAATTTATGTGCTCGAGTACAGCCGTCAGATACACTCGAGTAATCAATGTTTGTAGTCAAACAAGTATTACAACAACAATAACATCAACTCGAAATCATTTCAAAAGGAATGTGAAAAATAATAGCAAATGCTTCAGTTCAAAGTTATCGATGGCTGACTCATATCTAATTCTACATAATAATAATAGACACGTTATGGAAGCAGAATATATAACCTTGACTGACTGACTTGCGACGACAAGTCATTAAGTAGATGGAAGATGGAAACTCCAGGCGGATTAAAGGGAAAGATAGAGATGGAAGGGAAAGATAGCAGACATCAATGCAGTGGCAATCGCACTGGCACATTTAGTCCAACTCCAAATCGTAGTACAAGTTCTCGTCCTAGTCACGGAAACGGACGACATGTGGAGCACGTTACAAGTTCCTGCTATGGTCTGCCAAGTCTATAGTCCTATGCTCTCTTGTGGACTGACCTACATAAGCATGTAAAACACCCCACTTACAGTGAGTGTGTGTGTGTTTGTGTATATGCGTGTGTGTGTGTCCGTTGCTTTTTCTAATTCATGTCCCCTGCACTCGATCACCATAGGAGCAGAAACAAAAGCTGAAGTCCCATACCATTGCCCTGCCAGTACTTTGTCCGCTTGTTAAGTTGATTTTTTGCAGCAGACGGATGCTGCACGTGTGGCACGGACCACGTTGCTCACTGTCTGCACTTGCTACATGCTTTCCGGTTTAATTGATTTTGCCGCAAAATGTGAAATGTGTCGAAAACGAGCTGCACGACAAGCTGACCTGACCACCCCCAAGCCAGGGGAGGTGATGCACCTACAAATAATGCGCATGTTTAAGAAGCAGCTGGAGCAAAGGGTTAGGAAATGTGGCCAACAGCCGAACTGACAGATTGCTGTTTGGGGCAAACTTTGATTGGAGCTGCTCTCGGTAAATAAATATTGGGCAAATCAAAGACTGATTGAAAGGGTCAGAAAGTGCCTCATCTTGGCTTATAATGAATGGCTGCTGAATTTTAGAGCTTACGTTTAGGGATTGCAAATTCTGAAAACTTGGCAATTGCCACAGATTTTTGACAAGGCGAAAGAGCTAATTGGTCTTAAGGGATAGAATTCTTTTTAATAAAGCTTTACTTTAACGAATGTTTAGTTTTCTGTAGGAATTTGGTAAGGTCTATCAAATTGATGGAATTCAAATATTCTGATGACAGCGTTCATTTTTGTCAGTTTTTCAATAATTAATATGAAAAATATGCAAAATATTTATTAAATAAAATTCCGTTTTATAGAGTTCTGAAATATTAGGTTCACATTTTATTCATATTTATTAAGCAAACTTTAAGCAAAACTAAAATGCTTTACACACTAAATTATTAAAATTAATTTTGATTTTTAAAATCACAATAGAATTACGTGTATTTATATAGACCAGTGTGTGACATGGATGGGTATGATCATAAGTGTAAGGGATGGAGTGAAGCTGATATGAAAACTTAAGCGTAAAAGGCACAACATTTCCATGAACATGTGACATCCGGAACCTTAGAAATACATTTATATCGAATAATTTGTGTGACTAACACATTGTACAAGAGACATACACTCGCTAGACTTATATACGACTAAGAAATACCCTTACGACCTAGTAAAATCATAGGCAATAACATGTGCCGCTGCTGACACTAGCCCTTCTTGAACTTGAGCAGTAATATGGTGAGCACTAGAAACACGAGCACCCACGACGAGATGGAAATGAAGCCGTTATATACAGTTGGATTATCCATGCCCCAGCCGCGCTGCAGTATGGAGCGCATCGATTCTGTGGGCTTCGTCAGCGGCAGGAACGCGGTGACAAACTGAAGCAGTGGATACATGCCCTCAATGGGCCAAATAATACCGCACAGCATCACAATGGGCAGAAATGAGCCCATCGCCACATATGTGGCCGTACGCTCCGTATCCACAGCGCATGAGATGACAAAGCCAAAGGTCATACCGCAGAGTCCGTTGAGTATGCACAGTGCTACCACCAGCCAGATATCGCCCACCAGCGTCAGCTCAAAGAAGTAGAAGCTGACAATGAGCACAAACACAGTCTGACTGAGCATCACCGTGAACTGGGTGACAACCTGCGATAGCAGAATCTCTGGTCCCGTTATGCCGGCCACCAAGCAGCGCTCCAGCATGCCCTCATTGCGTTCAATCAGCATCGCGCCCGAAGTGATGGCCACCGACAGAAAGAATATGATGGTCAGTATAACGCCCGGGGCCGCAAAGTCTGTGAAATTTGGATTCCGATAGCCGTAAATGGGCTGCTCCCATTGTACTGGCACGCGTCCCAGCTTCGGGTTCACATTGCAATCACTCAACATGTTCTCCACAAAGCTGAAAAACGTATATTGCAGGTCGCGATAGAGAAGTGTTGATATTTGTTGATCTGCGAAAGGAACGGAAATTACACTGAATTTAGTATTATCTTCTATTACAAAATTGTTTCTAATATAATTGAAAAATTAATATTAAAATAACAGTAAGGACACATATTATATTTATTCTAAGATTGAATACAAGAGGAAGAGAGAAAATGCTTTGCTATCTTCACATTGACATTCGAATATGCCTTACACAAAATGAAATTGACAAAATTGAGTCTAATTTACCTTAAAATGCTTTTAAATAATAATAATTGTCAAACTAATTAACTTACTGGACCAATCCATGCGTACGCCCAAATCGGAGGCCTCCACCGTCCCATCCTCGGCATAACGCCCATCTTCGACTCGCTCGACCAGGGCATCAGTATAGTTCGGCTGTATGACAAGAGCGGCCCAGGCATAGCCGCGACGCACTTCCTCATAGGCAGCCTCATCATCGCTTACATATTTCTGTCAAAATCCAAAGCATTTGAAAAATAAGTCAGGGATAGGTAAGATATACCAGCAGTCAGTCAACGTCTGTTCTTTCAATTAGCTTAAAAAGTCAATGCAACAACTGTTCAGCTTGTACAGACAGCTATGAAGGCATATAGCAATGATATTGTTGTTGTTGTAATGCAATTAAAAGCCCGTGTCACTGAATTATTGAGCAACCCATGTCAGGTACGCTTATATAACTATGGGCACTTCCTTAGTGAGTCTAGAACTTGTCGGCTGTCTCTTTGTGATGGCAAACACTCTAACTGTTAGCAACTGTAGCTGTAGCGTCGCTCGCTTCATTTCCTGTCGCATTGTTTGTTGCATGTTGTTCCGAGCACAATAAAAGTAACTCCGCGTAATTAATGTGCGTACTTTGCGTCAAGCGATAAATTCTGCAAACAGCAGCAACAAAGAAAGGAAAATCCTTAAGGCAGCGCCGCAATACAAAATGCGTTGCCTACTTTTGTGCGTTGCGCCTTTTGCTTTTTGCCCGCCGACGTTATTGTTGCCGTTGTCAACAATATGTTTATGTTATCTTTTACAGTTTCATTTCGCTGATTTTTTTTTGTATTGTGCTTCTGACACACAAAACAATAAATAATGGAGTGTATGCAGAGAGTAAAGCTGTTTCAGAAATTTGCGCCCAGCATATCCTTGGGCCTAAGCCAGTGCTTGTGCCATACATTGATTAAGTTGGTTCAAGCTACTTTCGGGGCCACAACTTTGCCTAAAGTTTTGGCAGCCACTTATGTACATACAATAACCCACAGACAACAGCATCAACAACAACAGCACAAATAAATGCCGGCACATGTATTGGCATTTGTATTTGGGCTAAGCTTTAGCAATTTTGTGGTTACTATTTAAACCGAAAGGGAATCTAGAACAACAGGCGTGAAATTTACGGAATTGCCGCACTAATGTTTGGACAAATGAAGTCATTCACACGAACACACACACACTTAGTTACGTGCACATGTTGAGGACATGTGTGTGGTTATACGGCTGAACACTTCGATAAGCTGCATTAAATATAATGGTTAATCGAATTTACTTGTTTAAAACTTGGCTTACATAACTTTAGTAAGTAGAGAGCTACAAGGTTGAATGAAGATGTCAATCTGAATCTTTGTGTTCTGTATTGTTAATCAATTTCTGTCTCTCATAGAAATCCATATGGATAATTATTGAAAGGCCACAAAGTATTAAAGCTTCGGGAGCAGTAAATTATAATTTAAATTTGCTCAATTTGCTTAATCTGTTAATAGTTGTAAGCTGACAGCTGTTAATTATCCGTAGTTAATGCATTAACAGAAAAACGATATATAACAGAAAAAAGATATATACACGTCAATCTAAAGACATGGAATGGCATTTAATTTATGCATAACAAACTCAATCAGAGAGCTGAGAGTTGTCGCAACAAGAGGCAATCAATTTAGCAGACTTGACAACTTTTATACTATGGCTGAACCCTAAGATCAACATTGTTTATGACAAACTTGAGCCACAAACTATGCGAAAATGAACTCAACTTGGACGGCAAATGAGATGGAAGGAAGGCAAACCCAGCCAACAGCTACTGCTTATGGACTAGACCAAGTTGCAGCCCTACGCAAATGAGCTGGAGACAGAAACAGGTAATAACTTTCCAGCATGGCTATGGAATTCTCGCGTACACTATTTTTTTTTTTGTTTGCTCTTTGGCCATAAAACAAGACCACAGAAAAATTATGCTTCACCTTAAGTTAAAGCTTGTCGCTAATCAAGTGCACACAATAAACCCGCTGCAGTTAGCCCCAGCTCCAGCTCCGGACCCTCAGCTAAGGTTGACAGCAAAAGCCGTCTAATGAGCAGCGTTGTCACGCCTAATGAACTTTTAATTAAAAGCCACAGCGACAACAACAATTGAAAGCCCGCCCACAATACGTTGTGCAATTTTCGACATAAATTAAAAGCCAAAAGAGCCAACGGGGCTGCAAAGGGGTTACTTTTGACTCCGTCCCCACGCCCCGAGCTGCGGCTGAAAAGGTCGCCACTTAGATAAGACGGGGACGGGGCAAAGTAAAATGCCTTTGATCTAGACAAACCACAAAGCCAACGAGACTTAGGAAAAAATTAAACCGGAAAATATAAATATTATTTTTTAAATTGAGGGAGCACAGAGAAAAAGCTGCCGGCTGCTGCTGCTGTTTGTTGTCGTGACTTTGTGTCCACTATTGAAATGCTGTCAATGGGCAACGGTTGAAGTAGGAAGAAATTCAAATTTCAAATGTTAAAGACAGTTCCATGGTTGGGGAAGGTGAGGAGTAGACGACGTTGCGTGGGTATTGTTCGGCTGTTTGTTGTTGTTGTGGTTGCTGCTGGCCACGTGCTGATGGCTGCTTGATATGCTGTTCATTGAGCAAAATTAACTTTTGGGCTCTCCAACAAGGTGCGGGAGACACAATGAGCAGGATCCAGACACAAAAAAATATAAAAAGGCACAGCCAATTTTTAGGACCAAAAGCAGATGCGCTATGGAGATACGCGCGCCGTGTATACTTTATTTTATTCTATTTTTTATCTTAGCTGAAATTTGAACAAATTAAGAGTGATAAGGGGACTTTGGCGGCTGACCGAGCTTTTCAATATTCGAGCCTAAATAAAAGTTTTCGCCCTGAGCCTGACTTCGCAAATTGGCAAAAGCGGCTTGTTGTTGCCGTTGATACTGCTTGGTAGCTACATTTTTATTGTTATTATAATCATTTTTTTTAAGAAAAACAGAAATTTGATGGCAACTGTCGAAACAGGTCATGCCTCAAGGGGTCTTCGTATTTTCGTATACTTTTGATGTTGCAGCAAAGTATTTTCTTTCATCTTGATTGATTTTCTTTACCACCAGGTATTTAACAATTAATTAGAAATAACTTTGAGGAAAATAGAGCTGCCTTTTACTCATGTGAATTTAAATTAAATTCAAAATTTATGAATATGAATTTAGATAACAGTTGAAGTATTAAAACCACTCTCTACATTTGTTCAATATTCGTCAATAATAAACTTAGTTGAATTCTGTGTCATGCAGAGCTTCGGTTTCCCTTACGACCAAATAGCAAGAAGGCATTGTGCCAAATTAGCTAAGAAGGCATTGTTTTTGAAGCGTAATTTGCAATAAATTGCCGTGAGGGGCCGGTCTTTTGCACTGGGGCTGGCTTTCAACTACTATTTTTGCCCCACAGCTAGTATATTTATTGATGATCTCGACCAGCCAGCAACTGCCCATCTGCCCGAGACCCCAACAGCCTTACTACCATACTGCTGTTGCTGTTGCCAAAGATAAGCAGCTGTAATTTGTGTGCGCCAACACCAAAGGCAACAGAAGCCGCAGCTAAGACGGTGCCAACTCCAAAGGGGGACGCTGGCTCTGGGAGTCAGCAACTTGATTTAGGAGTCCGGCAGCATGGGCTAGAGGCAGGCAGACGTTGTGTGCAGTAGATTGAAGAGCATGCACACGGTGGCTGACCAGCTTTGGTGCCCGCACAAATTGAAATAAATTACACGAATGGCCGGCAGGGTCGAACTATCGTCTCAGCGTCCTTCAATAAGCAATAGCAACATCAGCATCAGCAGCAACAAGAAAATTCTAACATGAGTGGTTATTGTACTTGTAACCCGGCTCGCATTGCACAATTTAAGCAGAAGCCAACGACAGCTTCTGCTCTGCCCCTCTGCTTGGGCCCCAAGGTAATTTGCATGCCATGTACTCACCACAACCATGCTCTTGTTCTTGACCAGCATATCGAGATAACGGCAGCTGAGCATGGTCTGATTGCATCCGGTGTGCACTGGACAAAATTGTTGCATAATCATTTCCTCGGTCATCTCGTGATTCGCCACGGCCAATTTGAGGCCAGTGGGATCATGGCCAATCGCATAGCAGAACAGCAATATCTGGACCACCGGCAGACCCACTATGAATAGCATTATTCTAGATGCGAAACAGTTAGTTAGTCACATGGTCAAGTTGATTTGCTGGCCAATTACTTACCCTACGTTGCGCATCATCCACAAAAAGTTTTTCCAGATGAGCGCATGCAGATGATGCGACTGCATCACATGCAAATTGTACCAGAAGGATGTAGGCATCTCCTGCACCGGCGGCAACGGTGGTGCAGCAGGAGCTGTGCTCGTAATGGGATCTCGCGCCGCCGATGACATGGATATATTATCACCGAATTCTCCTGAAATCTCAGCGGCGTGCTGCTCATCGGACATGTCCAGCGCTGGATTCGATATGGCTGGCACCGTCACCTGCTCCACAATCTCCTGGGCAATAGATGAGCGCCGACGTTTGCCCATGTTCTGCATGACGGAAAGCTTGAGGAACACAGCCTCCAGCGAGTCGGCGTTGTATTGTTGACGCAGATAGTCGGGCGACTCCTCGGCAAGCATTTTGCCGCCACGCAGCAAACCAATCTGTAAGGACAGCAGTTCTTTAGCTAAATTGATTCAAATTTGAGGGAAAAGTGTCGCCAAGTAAATTAAACTTTGACTTTGACAGTGAATCGTTCGTGTAAATCGTAGACTCTACCATCCGGCTAGCCCTTGACATCTTTTGGATTGACTCAGGTTTAGCTGCGCATTCTCAATTCCTAGCTGGCTTGGAGTAAAAGTTTTCTGTGTGCGCACAGTGTCAGAATTATGTACATCCTGTTGTTGTCGTTGAAAACTTTTATTGACTGTCCTTCGGCAATGCCCCTCTCATGCTACAGACAGCTAATCTCCCCGCCACTTTGTCACAACGTGCGGATATTAAGTTAATTGATTTCTGTACCGTACATGACCAGGCATACAGAGTAACATATTAGGCTAGTTCAGGATGTTGCTCCTGCCCCGGAACCCAGTCCAACGTAATCGACTGACTGAATGCCCTTACTGGGCCGTCAAACTTTTCCGCCTTTACACAACTTGCTCAACATCTTCATAGCCAACTGCTGGCTCATCAATTCTTGCGCTGTGGATGGCTTCATTAGGCATGCACATGAGTGGATACAGCGTTAGTTCCTGCTCCTGCACATGGAAATTTCATGCGAAATATGCTACACACACAATGGCTAATTCACACACACACTTTAGCACACGAACAAACTGTAGCTAGTTAGAAAAGTTTTGCTGCTTGATTTGATTCTGTCTTCAGTCTGCCGGAAATCGGTTGTTTCCTCCGGCTTTGTCCATTGGCTGTTATATTTGGTAATTCGTCTATGGAGCGACCAATTAACTTCCTAATTAAATGCCGATGCAGAGCCAATTCACTAGCTCTCTGACGTGCGCTTGGTCAATTGCACTTTTATGGTTCTCGATGTGATCAGCATTTAATATAGGTCTGAATTCCATTTGCCATAAATAATTCCTTTCATATTTTATGCCCTGGCATCGGGCATTATTATGATTCCACGGAATTAGTTATACACTTATATGAAACTTTTTATGTACATATAAAGTATATGTAACAGATCAATTCAATAAAAAAATGTTGCTTAACAACATTTTTTTCTAATGGACAATTAAAATTAAATAAGCTTTAAGCCTATGATAGATATTTTATTACTTATGCTATAAGTATAACTCAGCTGATAAATATATCCACCATGGCAACTTTAAAATCTCGAAAGTGTATTTAATATTTTGCTTAATGCATGCAACATTTTCTTCTTGACTTTTTTACTCGTATGAAAGCGGAAATTGAAAAATGATATACGAGGAGGCTCTTGGGCGTTACCCAAGGCATTTTTTGCATTTTTCAGATATTGCATGAAAGGGTTGGATCCATTTGCATACACAAGGAAAGAAAATGAAGCTTAAACAGTTAGCTCAAGCTAAATCGTTTGGGGTTGCTATTTAAAGTGCATTTGCATAACTATTTCTTTTAACATTTATTTAATCTATCTCTTGCCGAAAATATGTTGAATTATATTTGATGCATTTGTATTTGCATTTATATTTAGTAGTACATTATATATATACTTTATATATATTCTGGCTTTTACGATTTAAAGCACTTCCTGCTGAAAGGGATACCGGACATGATCATGTTCGCAAATGCCGATAAGAGGAATGACCCACATCAAAGGCTGCCACCACATTATGACAGCCCATCATTATGAGTCGTGTCTGCAATTTGCTTCATTATTAGATAGACATCCCAACCCAGTCTGACTACCCTGAAGCTAGCTTGGTTACCTACATCAGGAATTTCAGCTGTGTGACAACGCTGTCGGTCACAGTGTTGCGTTTTATTCTGGTTTGTCCCTTTCCGCTATGTTTTCTGTATTTCTCTTTGTTTTTTTTAATTTTTTTTTTTTTGACAGACATTGCTCCTAAATTTAATGTCAACGGTGGCCTGGCTCATGGGAAATTGTCCGCTAACACAAAAAGCGATATTCGTATGAAATCGTGTATACGCCATATAGACGCGCAACTGAAGGGCGGACAGGAGCGTTGGTGGCCCTTTGGCACTACCCAGTTGTATGTGCAGCACTTTCTGCTCTAATAAATGAAATCAGGGAGCGTAACATTATTTGATGGATATATTGTTGCGACTACTTTACGGTCCCTCCCTCACACCACAGGCCAACAACTCCAGTAGCAACAACAGCAGACACTCAGAGCTGTTCTGTTTCTGAATTTTTGCTTGTTATCTTTTTCTTTTCTTTGACTTTTTTATCTAGTGTCCTTTAATAGTTTATTCTGTCTTTTCTGTGTGTTGCATTTCCTTTCTGTCGCGTAATTTTCCGCATGTTGCTTTTTAATAACATAAAATGAATAATACAAAAGAGGGAAGAAGGCAGAGAATTGTTTTTTAATGCCATGACCAAGCACGCAAATGGACAGTTGAATAATTGCTGATGTTGAGAAACATCAAATAAAATGAGACCTACAAAGCGGTTGGCTTATGTGAACATGAATGTGTGTGTGCTCTAGAATGCATTGCGGTCAAATTGATTGACAATTTAATACGGTATTGCAGTCATCGTATTATAGCGCAATAAACTGCTGCCGAAAGTGCAAATGCAAAATATAAATATAAAAATATGTTTTTTCTATATTACCATTAATATTTTAAAGTGAACATAAAAGTGCAAAAAAAATGTATGCTAGGTAAACAAGCATTAAACTTAATAACTCTATAAAGTTAATTTAGGTCACATCCATAAATGGATCTGTGCCATGTTTGCTTTCACACTCAAAATTTTACTATTTCCGTAATATATTCTTGATAACTTTATTTTATAAAACAAAATACGCTTTTGTCCTCGAGCAGACCTCAGCTAGATATTATTTGCCGCGTATCTGTTGAAGCCAGCAAGCAACTCGCATAATATCTATTTGTCAGTCGTTTCGCAAGTCTCATAAATTTGCAAAAGAGCTTTTATAATCCATAAATAATATCGAATTTTAATGGCAACACTCTAAGTTTAATACAGCAATCAAGTTTATGAATGTGCTTAATGCTTAACAGCAAATCGAAGTTCACATAGCTTTTCATATATTTAGTAAGCGGCAGTTGGTATATATTAGCCAGGGCAATGCATTTATAGCTAATAAATTGCATGACATGCAATAATAATAAATCTTAAGGGACGCCAGCAAGGCAACTGCAGCTCGATTGAAATGGCGAAAAGCAGGATACGTGACCTGCTGCCACCTGCTGCCTAGGTAAGTGTCAATGACTATGTCTCACTCAATCAACACGATTGAAAGCTCAGACTATATGTATATTTATATATATATATATATTTATATATATATATATATATATATATATATATATATGTATATATATATCTGTAAGCTGTCCACATGCTTTAGGAAGTGTTTTAGTAAGCATGCATACTCTCTTCTGATGCCAGCACGCAATTCTGTTGAGTCAACAATAAAAAGACACAGAAAAAAAAACACATAGAGAACAACCCAACACAAAAACAATAAAAAAACTGACCAAGTTCCACTGGTCAGTTAGACAAGTAAGTCGCACGACAACTGAAGTCCAAGTGACGTGCAGAATTGGCGAAAAATATGTGCTACTGCAGGAGAACTCCTTCGAGTTGGATTCCCTGCGTTGAGCATTGCGCAACCTGCGGCAAAGCAAAATCGTGGCACGAAAAAGTGACAAAGCTGAAAAAGCAATTTGCTGCCGGCCATAATACGAGTCGTCGACTCAAGCGTGCGCAATCTAAGCGGACGTCATGTTATTCTTGTTGTTGCTGTTATCCCTGTCCTTGTTGCCGTTCTTTTCGGTGTCACAGCAGGAGACAACACGTGTTCAATATGAGCAATTAAACACTGTCACCAAAATTGCCAGACAGACAGAAGTGAGGCGAAACTCTGTTGCCCACATAGGCAGTTTATATTTCTTTTGGTGTTTCACTTTTTAAGAACCCAAATGCTGTACAACAATTGCCATTAAAGATACATTTCAATGGGTTACGCATTGCGGTTAGATTAACTAAGCCCGAGACCCGAGGCCTTGTTTTATAGACTGTCCTTCAGGTTGCCAGCACGTTCTGTGGTAGACAAAATCGCACAATGATTTCGTTTATTGCCCATAACTCTTTAACGTCATGGCACAGAGCGTGCGAGGGTGTCGTTCTCTTCTTGTTTCGACAACCATCTACCAGCTGTAGCCAAGAGGCAGGCAGTAAGCAGCAGGCAGCAGACACCGAGGTTTCAATTGTCGCGTGCTCGGCAGGTACACCAAAGCCATTGGCTAACGAGCTGAAGTGACTTTGAAAAAATACTCAGATATAAAAGCAGCTTTACATAATTTAATATGATTTTATAGCAAATGGATGTAAATTCAATCATCTAATACATATCCTTTGCGTTACTCAATTCTGTTTGTTATGATCAAATTTAAGTCAGTTACTAGAATTTCAAGAAATGTGAAGAAACTGCGAACTAATGGCTTAGCTCCTAAGCATATTTTACTTTACTTAATTCAGTTTCTTTTGTTACTATACACTGAAAGGGAAAGCTGTTTACAATTCTTTTTTTTTGCAGTGTTCAAAATAACTATTAAGGAACTTTTAGTTTTTTATACTCATCATCTCTTAGTTTTATTCGAATAATTTCCCAACTATGTAATGATAAATTCAACCCCGACCTATAAACTGTAAACAGCAATCGAATCAAGCCCCCGGCTGCAGGGCTGTTGGTGGCATTTATGTGTTGATAAGGACCCAAATAAATCAGTGTTTTGCAATATTATAAATCGCTTGTCCATCAATCATTTGATTTCATATGCCTTCCATAGGGTATGCACGTGTCGCAGTGTTTGTCTGTTTACTCCACAACTCAACATTGTGCAACTCTTTAAGGTCGTTTCTTTTGCATCAATCTTTGGAATTGCCACTGATATATATGCTACAGACTCGGCTTTAGCTCAGCTTGCGCACGGACCTGACCAGCATAAGTGCGTGTCCGTGTGTGAGGATTTGTTTGTTTTATGTGTGCGAGCGTGTGATGTCTATGTGTATGGGTGTGAGTTTGTTCATATCCTGTGCGTGTCGCTTGGGTATCTGTTGGTCTATCTATATATCTGTCTATCTAAGTGTCCATTGTGACGGGCGTTTGCTTTGTGCGCTTTGTCACGCTTTATTTCTGTATTTTCTAAGCATTCCATCTCTTTTTCTTCTTTTTTCTTTTTCATATTTTTGCTGGAGACGGCTCCGTCAGTCGCTCGCACAGTTCATTGTCTGCCTCACGCATTAGTAGTGGTATACACACAACGTGGGATTCACACTATTTCGCCTTGCCTGTGTCTAGGTCTTTAGCTGATTATGGAGCTTCGCATTGGCAACATAAATAAATCTGAAGTAAATTTTGCAATGTGTCTCGCTCGGAAATGCCTCGTAAATCGTGCCATGACCATGGGTCAACAACAGCACGGCCAGTAATATTGTACTTCTTTCGAACGAGAGGACACAGATTTGTTGCAGCTCGCGCAGGATACAAATTTGCCAAGCGACCAAGTTCCACACACCAGGGTAAGCCCTGCCGCCGCACTCATGGTTCAACAGAAGGAAGCACTTAGCGCCGCGTGTTGACAGCACACACTTGAGCTTGAGCTGATAAGCGCAGCCGCTGCGCAGAGACTTATGGTTTACTCCCTCGACAGCTGAGCTTTCACCTTTGTCAGCCCCTTGCCAACTGAAGCGCATAATGTTGCTCATACGCCGCATTTTACAAATAGACGTGCAAGCACCAACTATAAATCAAGCGAGCAAACAATGCGTGGGCGCCAAAAAGCCATTGCCATTGATCCCCTACACTGGCCAACCCTTAGTATATATCGCATAAGAACTTACCACGTGAGCTTGGGCACACTCGTCGATGTAATGCGTGGTGATTATCACAGTCGTGTGGCCATTTTTTGTAATTTCCACCAAATGATCCCAAATGCTGCAAAAGTGATACAGAGTTAGTCAGAAGGCAGTGATTTAATATATTACATATTATTTTTGCTATTTAATACACCGAAAAAACTTTGCTAAATAAATGTTTGCTATACCAGTCCCTAGAGACAAAGTCAGGAAACAATTTCTAATGAAAATGATTCTATTTTATTGTAAATGCAATTTGTAAAAAAATTCCCTTTTGGAATAACAATATTAAACGTAAATTCAAATAAAAATGAAATAACTAATCCTATAAGCTGATGATATTATATAACATATTACTTTGTAAATAAATTTATACCGCACATTTGGCAACCTTTTGCTTTATTTATTTTAAGTTTCTGCTCTCACCATATCCGTATGAGTGTAAAATATATACAATGAAATGATATATGCCGTCCGCTAAAGAAATAAATATGTGAATCGTAACTTTTTGTGTGTTTGAGCAATGAGCTATCTGTTTTCCAATTTGTATTTTGCATTTTCTCAATATTATAACATATCGCTTTACCTATTAAGGCTATAGCGAGTGAAGGATACGTAACAATGTCTTATATAACTAAATTAAAATGGTTTATTGTTGTCTATCAATAAGCAATGTAATGTGTGTTTATTTTGTCATTTGCATCATATCCTCAATAAAGCTTTGTGTATCTTGCTCAAAATGTTCTTTATTTATGTTGGTTTAAAGCGTGCAAGTATGCATGGCATCCAGGCATCCTCAATCCATTGATTATTTATACGCACCTCTGTCGCAGCACCGGATCCACGCCCACGGTCGGTTCATCCAATATGAGCAGCTCCGGTTCGTGGAGCAGAGCAACAGCCAGACTCACGCGACGCTGCTGTCCACCGCTCAAATTTTTGACAAATTTGGAGCCATTTGGCAAATTGAGCAATTTGAGCAGAAATTCGGTGCGATCCTCGATGTCGCTGCGGGGCATGGCCGCAATAAGTCCAAAGTAGATTAAAGTCTCGCGCATTGTGAACTCCCCATAAAGAGCTATCTCCTGCGAAATGGGAATTAAAAGAGAATTATACAACGAGCATGGGCGAATGCAAATACCATTGCCTACATCTCGGCGATGCAGCTTTATGAGCCTCGGGGACTAAAAATATTACTGCGCTTTGTCGAAATTAAAACTTCTCTGCTTTGCAGCATTTAAAAGTTTTATTTTTTATTTGGGGCCTTTGTTTTATTTTTATTTCTATGTTTTTCTCGCATTCTGGCTTTTAACGTTTTATTGCATTTATTTAATTTAGTTACGAGCCACGAAGCCAACTGCGGCAGGGCAATAAAAAGCGCATGAAATATTCAAACAGCACATGGAGTTCGACTCACCTGTGGCATGTAGCCAATTCGCGGGCCTGGCACACCGGATCCTGGTGACCCCGGCCGTCCGCCCAGCACCCAAATTTCGCCCGAATTGAGACGCCGTCGTCCGACGATGCAGCTGAGCAGAGTTGTCTTGCCACAACCAGAGGCGCCCAGGAGACCATAGCTGCAAGAGGGAAAGGCGTAGAGAGAGGGAAGGTAAACGTGTGCGTTGGGCAATTTAATGCTAAAGCTTATATAATAAAATGCATATAGAAAAGACTGAGCACAAGCTGGTATTTGTACACATATGCATGTCAGGCAGGAGCGCATCGAGCTGAGTGAGGGGCCCAAAGCCGAAAGACGAATAGTAATAAATAAATTATAGAAAATACTAATTATAATGAGTTTTTATTTGATTGTACCCAATCAAATTTCATTCTTAATGTCTGTGAACATTTAAGTATTTAAATTGACTGTAAAATGAATGCAAGTATCTAAATGTTTCAGGAGTATGGGGAGCTTCCACTTCAACCAGAATTTTTCTTAGCAGACACGCAAAAGGACGTCGTGGAAACCATTAAAGGACTAGCGCCCAATGCACCGAGCTGTTTCTAATGGGGCACTGGACCGATTCGCGTGGCACGGCCGAGGCAGTGGATCTGCATTTAACTTGAGTCCTATAAAGCGAGCCGTTCGTTGGGCAGCCCAATACTTGGACGGGCTGGCAGGCATGCCACAGCTTCAAAAACAGGCAAGCAGACAAATATTTTAAGCACTTACCAACACATACACACACGGGCGCAGGCACGCTAGTTCACACAGACTCACAGAAATGTGCGCTACACCATGAAAGCATCAGGTGAAAAATCAACTGTGAATAGTTTTGAAAAAATATGCAGGTGCAAAAAGTTTCATTGCAGCGCGCAGGTTTCCACGCCCCTCTGGGTGTCCCTGTTTCCATGGCCCTGGCATGTATGTGGCTTATCTCGCGTGTGGAGTGGAGGTGGAGCTGTTGCGAAATATATTTAGGGAATGTTTAGCACAGCTTAGAGCGCAAAAGTCCCACACGCCCAAGCCCATGACCACGCCCATGCCCGCGTCCTAGCGAACGCCATTCCTTTGCGATGTGCACAGTATACAGAATTGTTGGGTTGGCTGTTGGTATTATATTCTATCACAGGGCTAGCTGCTGAGTCTGTGTGTGTACGCGGATGTGTGTGTTTAGCCATGAATAACATGCAGGTCAAAGTGACTCCGCAGTGTGCACATGAAAAAGCCACACTTGAATAAGCCAAGCCGAGCGCCAAAGGGGTAAATAAGAGCGCAACTCAGAGCTGGCCAGATCCAAGCCAAACAACATGTAACAAAAACAACAACAATATCAGTTGCAGGTAAAACAATAAGCGCAGATATGATTTAAGTGTAAAAGTTTAAGAGCTCCGAAGCATATAAATAATGTCAAGGCTAGTCGGTTGACTTTAAATGTTCCCAAGTCAACTAAAGTTGCAGTCAGTAATATTTTAAATTGGTGTGTTTACTGTGGGGTATTTCATGTTATATTCATTTCAACAAAGAATATAATTACACACATATAACAAAAAGACAAGCTTAAGTTTTATCTCACAGACTCTGCTAAGACGCAGTAAAACTAGAGATAATAAATAAAACTATCCCAATGGCCAATACATGCAAGATTTTAGTCAATTGGCAGACATTAAACTAGTAGTCGACAGACACAGTAGCTTAGACACAGATGAGTAAATTAAAATAAAAATTAACGCCTTTGTTTTCTATTCGCTTGACATTAAATAAATTCTAAGTCATTTTATCAAACTCTTTTCATTTGCTAAGCCTTTGCATAATAAGCAAATGTCCACTTTTAATCACACCACACAACTTATCCCTATTTCCATTTTCCCGTGCTAAATTGTGTAGCTGCGGCATTAGCTATGCAATTACATATTGCCACACGACTTCAACATAAATTTCCCGCTGCAGAGCAGCAGGAATGTCGTCGAGCGTTAAATGGTCGACATCAAGATAAAAAAATAATGCTAAATTTTTGCAGTCAAGCAAAAAAAGAAAGAGCGGAGCCATTGAAAGTCACAAATTACCAACATTTACCTGCGGCGTGTGCATATTTTAGCTAGACTCTGTTACCCTTGCATAGCCAACAAATAAAGCGAAAACAACAAACAACTCACAACAACTAAAACAACAAACAATGCAACGTGAAATGGCGCCAAGCGACGACCAAGTTGATTTTTGAAGCCATTAAACTTTTTTGTGCGCAGCCTGATGCATTCCCGTCTAAGGTAATGCTGCCGCAATGTGATTGATGATTTGTGCCGCTGAATTAGCTTCTGGCATGCCACGTTGCACAGCCACACATGCCTGCGTATACTCACCACAGTGCTTGCGAAACGCGCTGTGCACTAATTAAATGTGATTCAACTCGGAGATATATGCATTAATTATTGATCCATTGCATATCAAATTATGTGGCTATTTTTGTTGTGCATCTCACTCTGTCAATCTGCTTGTCAGTTTATCTGTCAGTTAGTAACGTAGCTAGAGGTCAAAGTGTCAGCTGATAATTTAATTTAATGTTTGCTTACTTTGCGCCATATTTTATTGACATCAACGCACGCCCCAGCAAAAACTTTTGCAGTCGTCTATAACAAATTGTAGTAGTAGTAGCTGTTACTGTTGTTGTTGATATAGCTAAGCAGCACATCACGGGCAATTAGAGGCGCGGTAATGCGTATTTAATTAACTGGCTTACTTTGTAGTTTTCCATGCAAAATTAAGAGCATTGTTAGCAAGTCTGAATGACTTACTTGAGCGACTGGCAAGCAGTTGGCTGTCTAGTTAAACGGTAAACTTTTCTCATAGACAAGCTCACCTCACACTAAGTCAAAGTGCTTGAGTACAACTTTGCGATGGATAGTATTAAATATAGAAGCGAAGTTCAATTTTAAGTAGCAGAGCTCTAGATGATTTAGAGTACTTTAATGTCAGTAGCTAACTAGTTGTGGGATTAAATGTCAACTCTGTACTACTTTAATCAAGGAAGTCAACCTTTTTCTGCAACAGCTGGCATTTATGTACGAGTCGCAAGTGTCCAAAAGCTCGTCAAAACAATCGTACAGCCCGGCGCATGCTTGATATTTTTTCAATTAAAGACATAAGCGTACGCGTTACGCATACGCAATGTGAAACAAAACCCGCTAGCTCATAAAACTCAGACGGCATCTCCTGCCATTGCGCCTCTACGTATGCTAATAATATTAATAATTATGCTGGCACAAAGGCAAAAGAGACTGAAACGTGGGGCGCCAGAGCGAGAGAGATTAAGAGAGGGGGCAGTGGGAAAGAGATATATACACAGTTATGAAGTATGACTGGCAGAGTACAGTAAGAGTTCTACTTGCAGTTACATTTGCAGTTAGTCATTCGGTTGCTGTACGTGCAGGCCATAATACACACAACACTTGACCCCTCGCTCGGGTCAAAACAATGACTTGTATTTTGTGCTTTGAAAGGGTTATTTCGCCTGCCAGGGTTGCCACAGCACAAGCAGCTGCTGTCCGATTTCATTATGCAGCTTTTATGTATAATTTAAACACTTCCATATGAAAAGCATGCAAAAAGCGCTTTCATATTACATATTTGTATTTGTTGTATTTATTGCTCGCTTTTGTTTAAGCTGGAAGAGCAAAGTCAGCGTTTTTCCATTTGCGGTCAGTTGAGCGATAGAGAGAAAAAATTAAATTGACATTGAGGCGAAATTGAATAACTAACAGTTACCCTGGTGGGTTTAATTGCTATTATATTGTAATTCTTATGAATTGTCGATAATAACAGTAATAAAGATATATTCAGCTTCGATCATATCTTATGAAAAGTAATATATCACTCGACGTTGCATAAAGGTCAACTGGAAAGCTCTAGTCGAGAGCAGTCAGTATAGTAGTATCATTTCATTAGAAACAATCTTAGCTTGCCTCTGCCTAACTTTACACTGCACTACTGCTGATCAGAGCTTACAACTATCGTCTACTTTAAGTTGAATCAAGTTTCAAGCTTCTAGGGTAGGGTACGACAGCCAGCCACACTAATAAAGAAGCAACCCTTGCAGCAACCGCCCCTCTCCAGTACGTATCTGTTTACTTGACTGTCTGTCAGTCTGTTGCATATCAGTGGCATATGCAAAGAGCATGTGTATCTTTATACGCAATAACTTTAACAATTTGGGTTTTGTTATAGTCAGGCGTTTGCGTTGGTCACTGAGCATTCGAACGGCGTTCCGGGTCCGGTTGCTTGCATTGTTTTGACAGCGGACTGCTATATTAAATGGCTGTCTTGCTTTTTGGCTTTTAATTAAGTTTGCGTGCTGCCAGTTGGCCTGTTGGCCAGTTGAAATTAAAAACTCAAATCGAGTTTGTGAGCAACTTCAAGGGTGCAACTTGCATAGATCTGGCCGCGTCCGAAACAATTACGTTTATGAAACTTTCGGCCAATATTCGAGCTGGGTTGGCTGCCATAACAAAAACAAAAAAACTTACGATTTTCTCGGAATAAATTTCAGTCTATTTGCTTCGTTAACCGCACATACAAAAATCTATTCTGCGACTGAGTGTTTTCAAAAACTTTGTTTGCTCCTGTTTGCTGCGCATTATGCTAAACTTTCTTGCAATTTTCTGTGTTTTTTTTGTCCATTTCTCTTTGTCAAGTGCAGTGGGCAACGCCAAAACCAATTACAAAATCCATAGCCGTAGCGAAGGGAGCTAACAAAAGTGAGTCCCAAAAAGTGGGCGTGGGTGCAAAGTTAGCTTGCAAACAATTGCAATTTATTAAGCTAAGAGCCAAGCAAGCCAAGCCAAGCAAAGCAGAGCACAAACAATGTCCATGTCCAATGCGCTTAGTATTCGCTGTCTTTCAGCATAATTAAAACAAAGTTCAATGCGCCAATGCAGAAGGCGAGCACACTTGAGGCAAAGATCCAGAACAGAACATGGAGTCAGATACGCGCACGTTTCAGCTTGACAACTCTTAAAATATAATTGAAGCTTGTAATGAAATTTACTTCTGTACGCTAGAGTGCAATTTATAGGTCAATTACTGTTCTTCATATGTGGAAGTCACTTGCAATCTGTGACTCAATGAAATTTATATTTCTAT